TTCTCCCCAGATACTGAGTCTGCTTGTGCCTTGTTCTGGGGTTTCCCAGCCTCCAAAATTGCAAGAAATAAATTTGTGTTGTTTTTAAGCCACCATTCTATGGTATTTTTGTTATAGTAGGCTGCATGGTCTAAGACGGGGAAATTAAGTGTGGGCACTCATTTTCATTAGCAGGAACAGAATCGTGCGTAGTCCCAGGGGGTAAAATCTTACCTGATCTTGTTTCAGCTGGTGGAAATGACCTGCTATGCCAAGCCATTTCCACTCTCTTGTGTGGATTTGCCTTAGCTATGACATGAACAATGAGCAAATCATTTGGGTTAACCGGAGAACTGTTTTAAAAATGCAGAATGCAAACATGCCTGAGGGGAATTTTTGCACCCTCAGTTTGGTTATCGCTTTTGTATACTTAAGTGAAATCAGCTGCAGTGAAGAGATAAAATTCTGATGACATAAACTTGGAACTTGATGTGGGGTCAGGCCTAGGGTAGAACATCACAGGAATCATCAGGAACGCAGAGAACATCAGGAGACCAAGGAGGAAGAGACTTAGGGAGGTGAGGATGGGAAGATGCTCCACTTTTTCACTTGGTGTAATTTTGACCCGTGAGCTTAATGTAGCAGCACAATGGAGAATTTACAAAGGGGTGGGCATATGTCCTTCCAACTACTGAGAGGAGAAATATTGTAAATGTTGGTAAAGTGATAGAACCAAAGTGAGATAAATCAGCTACGTACATTATGAAGTACAAGTTCTGATTTTGTTTTCCAAATGCATAGAAATAAAAGTCAATCTAGAAATGTAGAAAATATGAAGAAGCTTCACCGGTGCCATCTCATGGAGTGAGCCGCCACTACCATGTCCTAATATCTGTTCTTTCCTCTTCTACCTTCCCAGTAGAACTAAATACCCTGTGGCTCTGCCTTTATATTCTAGACAGTGCTATCCAATAGAAATATAACATAAGCCACATACATATTTTTAAACTTGTAGTAGCTGCATTAAAAAAAACAGAAACAGGTAAAATTAATTTTAATAGTGCATTTTATTTAATCTAAATACCCAAAGTATTATTTCATTAATAACAATTATTAACAAAGTATTTTATCTTTCTCCCCCCACCCCCCATTTTGTACTAAGTCTTTGAAGCCAGGCTTATATATTACACTTACACAACATCCCAGTTTGAACTATGTCCATTTCCTTTGCTCAGTCATAGCTGCCTGTGTCTAGTGCTTGCTGGATTGGGCAGGGCAACTCTAGATGGAAGATATTAATGCAGGGACACTGTTTCTTTTCTTTTTTAAAAAGATTTTATTTATTTATTTGACAGAGAGAGACACAGCGAGAGAGGGAACACAAGCAGGGGGAGTGGGAGAGGGAGAAGCAGGCTTCCTACAGAGCAGGGAGCCCGATGTGGGGCTTGATCCCAGAACCCTGGGATCATGACCTGAGCCAAAGGCAGACGCTTAATGACTGAGCCACTCAGGCGCCCCAGGGACACAGTTTCTTAAAGATCATGAAAATTTGTTATCAGCTGTAAATGACAGAGTAACCTATTGAGGAAGGCCTGAACTGTAAGGGCATTTACTAGTTACTTAGCAAGGATACTGGGGGTAGGACTTTGTTCAGAGGATTAAAAGTGCATCAGGGATCCAGGACCTTTCCGGCTTTTTACCTCATGGGTCTTCCTCAACACACTGGCATTCCTTCTTGTGCTTGTCATCTCATGGTCACAAGATGCCTATAGCAGCTTCTGATATCAAGCCTTAATACCTGGAAAGAGAAAGATCAAAAGTCCTTCTCTTTTCTCTCTCTCAAGTCTCTTTTCATCCAGGAGGAAAAGATTCCCCCAAGCAGACATGCCCTGATATCTCATTGGCCAGATTTGTCACAAGTGGTAACTCTTAGCTGCAAGGAATCTTGGGAAACTGAAAAGTTGCAGAGGAGAAGAGAATGGTGTAGGAGGGCTTTGCCTTAGATCAATCCTGATAAATTGCTGCCCCAGACAAAAATCAGACTGCTATTAGGCTAGATGGAAGAAGAGGATGGCTATGGGGCTGGCAGCAAGTGATGTCTGCCCCAGGGGCATTCTCTCAAGGAGAGGGCGCAGAGGAATATAGTCTTATAATCAAAATGGTCTTATAATTAAATAATAATTACACTAATAATTGCTCCCATTTACTGAGTATTCATGTGCTATGTGTGTTTAACGGATTACCTAATTCTCTCTC